AAGGTCTTTGTCTGCAATGATTAGACATGTTTTTTTATTGTCATTAGTGATTATCTCAATTTCGGCTAAAAGAATTGACAAAATCCTACACACTGTGCCTTTAACAGTGGTAAATGCATTTGTTATTGTGATCTGTAGCTTTCTGTATGGTGTATGTTATAATAAACCGTATACCATTATATGGTCAAGTTTTTTAGATAGACCATATCTATATTCGTAATATTACGTGGTCAAAATGATCTGTAGTCAGGAAATGTGTTATGCGGCCCAGATCAATGTAAACCACGTCAACATATTTAGCACAAGACAATCTTGTGTTTTCCTTACTCTAAATATTTTAACTTGTTTTCATGTATCTGTTATCATTGTTGCACATATGCACAGGTAAAACACAGTACACCACCCATTTTCAGTCATTTAATTCACACACCGGCACCGGATGTCCCCAAACTGGACCATGATGCTTTGTGCTAGGCAGAGTGCGGTATCTAAGAAATAGGCCACGTGTTAGCGCACAAACTAATATGTTAGCTCTGGACCGCTGCCATATACGGTACATATATATATTACTGATAAATTTGTAGTGTTAGTTTATACTGTACATAGCTAACACTTTGCCTTATACGTGCCGTATATGTATTAGCTTGGTGCTAATGCTTATGACTTAAGTCTTTTCTTTTTGATAAATCCTATCGCTGGTTTGTGTTTTCTGATCTTAGTTTTGCTACTACAGTATAGGCTTAGACTGCTGGAGATAGCTTAACCACATTTCCTCACTCTGCTGCTGTTTTTGCTTTCCATCAGTATTCATAATTATTACTGCCATTACTGTAACCTGTTTTTCTTTGTCTTTCTACACCTGGACCAATCCTTCTGCATCTGAAAACGTAACGCTGATCCACTTACAGAAACTTGCCGTCTGGTTGAGCTCCGGAGTAAAGCCTCCTCTCTCCTTCATGGCGGTTAATTTTGCCGTGATACCAAGGCATCTTCTCGTGTGCTGTGGTGGCAATCAGCTTCTCCAGCTGAGGAGCCTGACTGATGATGGCCTGCTCCATGGCTTCTCCCTGAACACAGACACAGAAACATTGATTACATTGATTACTGTAGCATTCTGGTGCAACACGTCACATTAAGGAGAGAACCACGTTGCATTCTGCAACTTTTCTCATGTTTCTGGCTCGGTTAGCTCAGGCAGGGTGTGAAATGTGGTGCAAAACGACGAGGCAGCAGGTTTTGTTCACATACACTCAGACTTTAGGTTGGTTCTTACGCTGGAGGCCATGAAGAGAAGCTGGTCTTTGAGTGAAACTGGTATCAGCAGGATGTAGACGCTTAAAGCAGGAACATCAGAGAGCCTCGCTTCAAGCTTGGTTGGTTCTTTGGCCGACGACAAGTTAGACTTTCTGAAAGGTGGTTTTGTGTTTTCTGCATCAGGTGAAGTTACAGTTTACATTTCTGCTGCTGTTAGTCTGTAAGATGCCCCAAATATCAGACTGCAGTCTGTGAGACTTATACGTATATGTTAAATACCAACATACTGCAATGTTGCAATGTCCTAACAATGAGTCTTCTGCTTAAAGCACATTTTATTTTGTTAAATGATCGATTCATGCAAATAAAAGATTGTAGGTTGTCTTTCACCTATTTACGGAAAGTGAAAACATAGCATTTTTAATTCTGATGAGGTCTGAAAAGGTGGTTTTATGGTAAAATTTTAAAAGTCACACTCAAAGAAGAAAATTACCTTCATTTCTTTCTATTTTCTATGGTGATTTTGGATTGACATGTTAGATGTTAGAATGCTTAAGACAATAAAATCAGACATTAGGTCAGTATAATAAAACAATATAATACAATTTTGTTTGGTAAAAGCAGTAAACAGTCAGCAAAAAGTATGTATAATAAAAGATTTAAAGGTTATGAAATTTTACTTTTGTGCTTTGTAATTATTTTATATTTATTACTACTCCTGTGGATAAACTGAACTATTCCACTGAGGTGCTGAGAGGAAATAAACATCTGAAAATAAATGGCTTTAATGTACTTTTCATATTTACTGAATCTGTGTTTGGACTTTAAGGTTTTTTTTAAGATCAGTGTTTTCAAAGAATCCATAAAAGTAAAGTTTACTGTGAAATAATAAAAGTTCAAACTGCCTCTGTGCAACATTTAGTTTATGCTTTTATGTGGATTCAGTGGGTATAAAGTAATTCTATGTTTGTATTATGTTGCATAAAATTCTTTGTTGAATTTTACTTTAAATATTAACTTATAGAAAACTAGAGAGAACATTTTATCCAAATCAGCTGAGTGCTGAAAAGCAGTACACATGCTAAAAGAAGCAGAATCCTAATTTAAAGCTAAAAGTATCAAAACGCTTATTAAAAGCTAAAAGTATAAAAACGCCTGCTGAAATCTAAATGGAGCAAAACTGTAGATAAAAAGCTAAAAGTATCAAAAGGTTATTTTCCCATGATTGGGATTACTTTTCAGAAAAAGTAACTATTATAAATCAGAACCTCACCTCCAGATTCCAGGTCTGCTTCACGTACTCCCTCAGCATGTTCTCCCTCATCTTGTCAAAGACGCCGGTCTTTATTGGCGTGTCCGCGGGGCGCAGGCAGGGCTTCCTCAGGGGACACACCAGCCCGTCGGCGTCCTTGCTGTAGAACTCGCAGAGCTCTCCGGGCCCGCAGTGAGGCTTGCCTCCCGGGATGCAGTACGTCCCGTTGAGCTGCTTCTCTATGGAGTAGTGGTGGAACTCCAGGCTCCACACCACGGACAGGACGTAGCCCCCCAGACTGCGGAGGCACTGTCGCAGCAAGAAGAGGCCGTCGGCCATGCCGGCCAGCTTCAGGTTCTGCTCGGCGTCGGAGCGGCTGATGCTGCCGTAGAAGAAAGGCAGCTCGACCGCGGGGTCGACGGACATGGTGAGAGCCTGKGAGAGTCGAGCTGGACCTGGTCTTGGGAGTCCTGCAGATGGAGTTAGTGGAGGTAAACTAAAGAGACTGAAAGAAAGAGGGGAAGAGAAAATACATTTTAGGGATTTCCGAGTTTCAGTCCACCTCGTGACCTCTGACCTTTTTCCAACATCTTCCACTCTATTCATCYTGATTAACCAAATTAAAAACCCATRAAACCCTCACCTTTCCTGCTCCTCTCAGGCTTTTTCTAACAGGACAACCTTATCAGACGGAGGCTCTGCAGCGAGGAGCTGGGAGGAATCGTGTGTCTGGAAGAGACATTCGGTGTTGAACACCTACACTTTGAAAATTGCCTGAAGCTTGCAGATTGACAGACTTGTGACAAAAAGCCACAACAGGAAGCTGCAGCCGCCTTCACAGCCTCTTTCCTTCCAGCATGTCGCTCTACCGTTGAACAGGTGCCGCTTGGTTCTAGAGCATTCCCTCTGCTTCAGACCTTTAACTTTGTAAAACTCTTGTTTCGCATGATTGAAATAAATCATTTCGAGCAACTCTAGAATAATGTAACGACCAATGTGTTTGGAATAAAAAATGTACCGATCTTAATGTGGTTGAGATGATAAGACTGCAGTCTGGAACAATCTGCAGAAAGAACTCGTTTATTTCAGTTGTAAAGGGAAATTTACAGATTATAACGCGGCAGCCCACAAAACGAAGACAGGAAGTAACACGAAAAGTCAAAAATATTGATAAAATTTAAGCAGCATAACAATGGAATCTTGGTTCTGGAGCTTCGAGATTACTGAAATGTTGGAAACTGATTCTTCATCTCATAAAGTTTTCAGTTTTGGTATAAAATTAAAAGCAAGGAGCTTTGATTTTACATGCAGACAAACAGAAACAATGGTTCATTTGGTGTAAAAGAAAAAAAATATACAATAAAAAGTGGAAAACCTCAGTTTCCTGGTTTTATGCCCACATCCAAAGTGGACAACCAGACCTGAAGTCACAGCTGCCACAAGACTGACAACTCCACCGTGACCTGACCCACTGGCTCACCACAACAAAGACAGACAGACAGCGTGGACACACAAACACAGCACGACATGCTGAATCACAACCACACGCATCCGCTCCGTGAAAAACACCTTAGGCAACATTTTAATGCAAAATTATTATATTTTTATGACCGTAATTAATGTAATAGTTGCACCAAGTTGTTTAAAAGTGACTCAATTCAGCTACTTCCTGCTGCACATTTCACTGACTTTTAAATCAGAATGAGAGTTTTCTTATTTTSGTTTGGTTCTGTGATTTTAGGGCTATCATTCTGAGATGTTATGTATTTTATTCTATTAACCAGAACTTATCCATCTCTATTTATTTCTCCACTCAGCGTTTTAATTGTCAGCAGTTGTTTTAATGAGCTGAAATCTCAAMTTTTCTTACTTTACTAAAATAAACACAGGCCTTTAAAATGAACGCTTCATCGTTTGCATCTTTGCAGCAAAACTAAAAAATAATATTAATAATGATGTTTTGTTTATGTTGTTTTACATGTTTGTAATTTTTGGTTGTAAAAACACAAACAATGATTAAAAATGAGCATTTTAAAGAAATTGGACAGAGTTTTTTTTCCTAACAGCTACGTCAAAACGGTTAGACCTTTTTATAGATATATGTATATATAAAAAATAACATCAAATCAGTAAACCTCTAAATTTACCAAAGAGAGTTTAAATACAGTACATACCGGTAGGTTACTTTCTAAATGGTGGGCCACAAAGGTTCACAGCAAAGAGAAACCACTTTTTTTGTATCGACTATTGTTTCATAACCAAGTTCTTCGATAACAGAACAAAGTGAAAGAGAACTTAATAACCAGCAAACAAACATTCACGTGATGGACACTTTTTATTTCTCTGACCAAACCAATGACAAATTTAATAACTTTCCAACATACGATATTACATCAGCCGAAAAGTGTCTGCTCAGTTTGTGCGGCATTATCGGTCAGGAAGGCAGACTGATGTGCTCATCTGTGTGAGTGTCTGAGTCGGTACTTGTATTTGTTCCCTCTTTTAGACAGTCCTACCTTTTCAAGACCAGTTGGGGTCCTAATATGGTGGAACTCCATTTTTGAGTTGGGGGTATGGTTTAGGGTGAATTTAGGCTAGGTTCAGTGGGTCAGGTTTAGGCTATAGAAACGACTGGAAAGGAATGGAAGTCAACRAACGGTCCTAATAAGTATAGAAGAACAAACGTGCGTGTGCGAGTGTGCGCGCGTCCGCTACCAAACCATGTCACAAAACAGTGGGCGGATTTTAAAGGCGCTTGGATAATTGAACGTTCATCTTAATGGAACAACTTTTGAAGCCAACTCGTGTCAAGATGGCCGACATGGTTGACCTTCAAAACCACAGTGACTGCCTGTTAGCATCTCACGAACCACTGAACAAATCTTATTGAAACTTTCAGGAAATAATGACTGGATTAAAAAGTCAGAAGGCAACATGCATTCCTTAGGCCACTCATTTTAAAATGTGATTTTTAAGCGGCGCCCCCCCCCCCCCCCCCCCC